AAGAGTTTCCCCGACAAACAACCATGTCATTTCGTGTTGGTGATTCATTATCAGAGCCTATCGCCGCTGCCCGAGGGGTTCCACAAGGATCCGTGCTGGGGCCTCGTCTCTTTCTTGCATTTATAAACGACCGGTCACATGTCCTTGGGCCTAATACACTGCTATTTGCGGACGACGCTAAGATCTGGAGCACTGTAACACATCCAGAGGATCATATAGCACTCCAACAAACGATCAATGCAGCCCACCGATAGTCAGTCGTCGGTGATATCGGGTTCAACTTTTCCAAATGCAGAGGTATTTTCATGCCGCATAAGACTCGTTCCTCCTATGTTCTGGGGAACCAAATCCTACCGCATACCACTGGCGAAAGGGATTTTAAAGTTATGGTACAGGAGGACGTATAATGTTCCATGCACTGTGGCAGAGCATCATCCATGGCTGTAAAGCAAGTTGGACTACTCAGACGTTTTTTTGGGTAGTTCGGAATAGCATTGTTCCTACGCTTGCTATCAGCGTTCGTTCGACTACACGCGGAGCACGCCGTTCAACTATGGAATCCATGGTTGAACCGCAACAAGAAGACTCTAGAACGTCCGCAAAGGTTGGCAACAAAATTCGTGAAAGGTCTGTATAACAAGACATACTCCGAAAGACTGCAATTATTGGGACTCTACACATCTCAAAACCGCCGACTTCGGGGGAACCTAATCTTGGCATATCACATACTGCATCGGCCCAACCCACCCTTGCCGTTCTCTGCTGACTAGATCTCATAATGATCACCTCAGGGGACATCCACCAAAGGTGAAGACCCAGAACAGCTACCTTGATTGCCGGCATCACTCGTTTGCAGTCAGTGTGCGGTGTATGGAATTCTCTCCCACCTGATGTAGTGTTTGCTCCTACAGTTGAACTATTTAAATCGCAACTTGATAAAGCATTGGAACACTTGAAATTTCAACATCCATGAGTGATCATGGATGTTGTTATTATTATTGGTTTCTCTCTGTGAAGTCATTCAAAATATTCTGTAAAAATCCAATGGTTCATAGTAAGCTTTTGCTTTGTTGAATCGCCCAAAATAAAACTTTGCCTTTGACTTTGATTGAAGTAGGTGCTACAAACGGGAGTTGTCATCAGATGTGGCTGTTTGATTGAGGAGATGGTGCACTCTACGCAAGTAGGAATTCGGGTGGTGGCAGTCACAAGCTTTCAGGGCGAATGCAGATTTAGCTTTGCTTGATGTAGCGCTCATACTTCTGTCTTGTGTCACACCGCGATTGTTCCCATTTCGATAGACAGTGAACCCATAATTTAATGTGATTTACTTTAGTGGTGGTCGACACTGACTGAACATGTAATCGGAATTGTTTTTAATCATGATTGATTAAATATTTGTCAGCTCCAAATGATTTGACTTTGCTTTGTTTTTCCGTTTTAGGCTGAACGTTCCGGGTTCTCTTCGTTCCACGTCTACGTGTGCGCAGCATTTTTGCTACACTTTTCCAGTGAGCTACAAAGGGAACAGGATTTTCAAGGCCTAATGGTTCTGCTCCAACATTTGCCTACCTATCACTGGACAGATGAAGACATCAATCTGATCCTCGCAGAAGCCTACCGATTACAGACTTTGTTTGCTTCGGCCCCGCATCATTTGGATTATCGTCCTCAGTCATACGCTGACTGATTACCGTTCATTCATTCAGTCGTTCTGCTACTACATGCTACTGGAGTACGCTGAAAGTGATAGATCTGTTTCCGAGCAAATCGGACAATGTTTTCCACCACGGAGCTGCTTCGTGATGCCTCTCCCCCAAACAGTCAGTGCCTTGAGCTTTTTAGCTCCGCCCATTTTCATTGCCCGAAACAAGTGGTCAATACCGCTACTGCTGTTGTTACTGCTACCGTATTTTCGGATTGCCTCTCATTTGCCGTCGAATATTTGAGAACCGCTATTTCACTCGTCCCACCGTCGAAAGAGCTGTGTTTGTGTCAGTCTCTCATCCCCCCACTCAGCGTCATACTCATTTTGTAAGACTGTTTCATGTCGAAAAACTTCTCTTCCTATGGCTCACTATATTCTTATTCTTACGGACATTGTGGGAACTATTTCCTTTTTCAGATCATTTTTCCTCACCGGTTTTCCCAACGCGCCAGAGGCAGCGTCTTGACCCAACGGTCATTTGTTCCGGATATATATCTCACCTTTAACCGCTAACGACGAAACACCACTCAACTCCGACAGTATAGTCTTTCAAAGCATCGTTGAGTCATAAAACCGTTCTGACTTTTGTTTGCACCGAGACTGTGCACTGTTTTTACGTGTGACTGTAGCGGTGGCTGTTTTCTGTTGTTACTTCCTTTCTTCCGCATACTACTCGGGTCCGGGACAGCGAACTGCAAATCTCCAGTTTGGATCTGTGACTTCTAACGCGTATCTAATTCCGATTTTACTGTTATTATTAATTTGTACCTTGTCGACGGAGCTCAAGAGTTCTCAAGTGATATAAGTACAACTTGGACTATAACGGTACATTAATAATCAGTTTTTACTGTGACCTTTTTTCTGCGCAAATTTTGCATGAAAGCTCCCAAAAACGAATAATTGTTCACGGAAAGCCAAGGACAACTGATCTAGACCAGATTTTTGTGTGGAGCTAGTCCACTGTGACTTTCTTTTACAATGGTCCTAGGTTAACCGTATTAACTTTGAAACGAGGCCTGCGTGATGTGGAGCACTAATTCGGCGTTGGGGAATTATTTGTTTTATAATGGTTTTAACACTTATTTCTGTACAGTACGGAAAACATCGGTTGGCAATCATACTTTGGAAGCGGTAGATACGTGCAGCAGATTCTCCACTACCACATGCACCGCCAGTCTTGTCGAACAAATGTTCGAGTAGAACAGATTTCAGATCGGCCTCGGGCATATTGGAGTGTACACTACGGCTGTCCGGTCAGTGCCTCGTTCAAATACATCGCCGGGATATATGGTCATAGTAGACAGAAAAACTCAGAAACAAGTACAGAAGAAAGACGGGCAAAATAAGCAACGTAACTTCCCATATTACTGGAGATGAGTGCTCGTAACTTGATAATGGACACTAAGGAACTAAGAGTTTATCCTTAAACCAGTTTCCGAAAATTTAGCATATCTGCTGACTAGACTAATCGCAAATATCCGAATTTTGCGGCAAAATTTATGGCATGATAAGCGTGACTGAAATGCGTACAATGAAGCCGTTTTAGTAAAGAACCATCTCGTTCGGTGTCTGTGTTCATTCGTTTTGTTTTGTTATTAATAGACGTATTTTTCGTTGCATATCCTAGTTCGAATACCTGTGATGAATTCGACTGATATGTGTTTCTGATGCTAGCATGGGAATTACCACACGAGTTCGAATAACACCTTTATATTTCTGCCAAGGGGTTGCAATGAGGACGACCATGGATTCTACTTGAGAAATCCGTATTTTAATGCCAAATGGGATCTGATTCGGTTCCGTAGTACCCCATTTATCGATAATCACATTGTATCGTCAGAAGAACTTCCATCCCCGGTTCCTAATGGTATTGCATTTACTTTTCAAGATGGTACAAATCAAGTTGTGCAATTCAACGACGAATAAATTATATTTTAAAGTGGTGTACACATTTGGAAATACAAGGAGACCGAGCTATGAATGTTGATTTGAGAACAACAACGGGAGGCAGCCTGGCTGGCCTAGTGGTCGTGATTGTGATTCGCAGCTTTACTCATATGGGTTTGGACTGTCACACGGTTCATGGATATGCATCAGGAACGATTCCTATCAAACCAAAACAGGTACGTACCGTTTTCTAGGTTTCCAAGGTGAATATCTTTTCAGTGGAATAATAGGTTTTTGTTTGAAAATTGAAGGAGTCCTGCCGAGAATGGAGTTAGCCCGCAGGTTTCGATCAACTGTTATCCATAACCTGCTACAGGTCACATCGAAACCTTCAT